AAAACATGAGGGCTACAAGTTTTCAACACCATGGTTGGGGCTGGGCAACACCAAGGTGGCTCACGCTTATAATCCTAGCGCTCTAACTGGCCAAAGTGAGAGGACTGCTTGAACTCAGAATTTGAGACCAACCTGATCAAGAGCAACACCCCATCTCTACTAAAAATAGAAAAACTAGCCCGGCATCATGGCACGCACCTATACCCATAGCTACCCAAGAAGCTGAGGCAAGATTAGTTGAGCCTAGGAGTCTGAGATTGCAGTAAGCTATGATCATACCACTGCACTCTACCAAAGTAGAGTCTGTCTTTTGAAGACAGAGTCTGATTCTGTCTTCAAAAAAAAGAAAAACCCTGGTTGGAATTTTAAAGCCTCTCTTTTCTCCCTTCCATCTGCCTCATCTGCCTTTGTGGGCCACTAACTTTACAATTTTATCCTAAAACCTAAGCTCCTCAGCAAGGCTAGAGCTCAACTAGGTTAGCCAAATAATAGTTTTCAAATTGGAATTTGTAAACTAGGAAATGAACAAGCATTTAACATTGCCCATCTGCTCAGTTCACATAACTCATCTATTGAACAACCTATTTCTTCATTATCCTTAAGGTTGTTTGGTTCAGTCAGAACTTAACAGATCTAGTTCTAAGTTTATCTCCCAAACAGAGGAACAAACAAAACCAGATCTGTCTACTATATGATTTCAGTAAACTTTCAACATTTTAAAATCAATAAGCAAGGCTTGGAGCCTGTAGCTCAAGTAGCTAAAGCGCCAGCCATATACACCAGAACTGGCGGATTCGAATCCAGCCCGGGCCTGCCAAACAACAACTACAGCCAAAAATAACCAGGGAGCACTGCCTGTGGCTCAAAGGAGTAAGGCACTGGCCCCATATGCCAGAGGTGGTGGGTTCAAACCCAGCCCCAGCCAAAAACTGCAAAAAAAAGAAAAAAATAGCCAAGCATTGTGGTAGGTGCCTATAGTTCCAGCTACTTGGGAGACTAAGGCAAGAGAATCGCTTAAGCCCAGGAATTGGAGGTTGCTGTGAACTGTGATGCCATGGCACTCTACCCCGGGCAATAGCTTGAGGCTCTGTCTCAACAACAACAAAAATAAATAAATAAATAAGCAAAATGGTAGCTTGGAAATTAATGATTTCTTTAAAATATTAGGGGGTTTTTTATAATTTGTTTTTATTTTGTATTGTAAAATTAATTTTTTTTATTA